GATCGGCCTCCATTAGGGCAGGCTGTCCGGACCCCACCTGTGCACGATTTTGTGCACTGGGCCTCTAGTAGTTCATAATAGCAGCTATCTCACACAATTATGAGAATCACATTAGATTGTAGTTGTGAAGACACTTTTTAAAATGCAAAGCATTTACAAATGGCATGTCCTGAGTATGTGTGTGTGCCAATCCATTACTAGTGGCCACATTCTTCTTGCATCTAGTTATGGCCCTTAATGGCAGTGAGGGGAGGGATGCAGTTATGATTGCAACAATTAACATTCAAAAACAGTGTTTTGTTTGGGGATAATTAAAATTTAAGTGATTTTTTTTGTTTGTTTTTAAATATATTTTTATTGATTTCAGAGAAGAAGGGAGAGGGAGAGATAGAAACATCAATGATGAGAGAGAATTACTGATTGGCTGCCTCCTGCACGCCCCCTACCGGGGATTGAGCCCACAACCTGGGCATGTGCCCTTGACCGGAGTTGAACCCGGGACCCTTCAGTCCATAGGCCAACACTAGGGCTTAAAGGATGTTTTAATTTAAAAATCCATATCTCAATGGGCAAATTAATTAATTTATCCAAAGTCAGGCAGGAATCAGAGATAGAGTAAAAACCAGAATTGCCCCCTCTCAGAATATCCCTAGACTGTTATACTCGTAAGTCTGATTGTTTCAAGTTATATCTTCTGTAAATGGCCTTAGCCTTAATATTTCTAAGTGTTCATTTTCAATGCTCGTTTTATGAATCTTTACCACCCACTGTGGTTGTTTCCCTCTTTTGAAACGATAGTCTTGGATTTCTCAAGATAGGCCCCTTGTGGAATTTTTTTTTTTTTTTAAGCACAGTAAGGAAGGCTTCATTGTCACCATAGATATAGATGTGGTAAAACTTTGCACTAAGGGAGAGAGATTGGGCTCAACTCCAGTCACAGCATGGACAAGCGGGAATTTCTAGCTAAAAAGCCAAGTGGGGGGCAGTGGATGGAAAATGACTAAGAGGAAACATCAGGGTTAAGGGGGATTCTGGCTAACGTGACCTGACAGGACCCTTACTGAAGATGGGGGCCCTTATGACCGGTGGTACTGAAAAGTTGTTAGTGGATCCCTTGGCCCCCAAGATGCAGGCTAGGACCCTGAAGGGCAGCAGAAGGGCATGGTTAGTGGAACTAGGAAAGAGAGAGTTGACTGGAAGAGGTTACCTCAAGAGGAGCAGTTTTCTTCTGTTAAGGGCCACAGCCAGCCTCGTGCGACTACAAGGAGGGAATGTAGTCTGGGCGCCATGTTTCCCTCTCCCTCTGACCTCCTATCTGTGCAGGTCACTGGCCAAACCCCCCTGGAAACCATTAGCCTCTTCTAAGTTCAGCTTCTGGGTGTCTCTCACCAGCACCAACAATGCCCAGCTTATTTGACTGTAACATGCAAACAATTTTTTGTTTTGTTTTTATTTTTATTAGAAGCAGGAAGAAATCCACACACATTAGGCATTCTCTCAGCCCCAGTGTTTTTTCTGACCCAATCTAGCCAGGATGTACTACACAGCCCAACTGAGAATGCACAGGGGAGGGCAGTCATGTGCCTTCTCCCTCTATCACTCTCTTTCCTATAGTGTGAACCATAGCAAAGCAAGTCCACCTTGATCTGCAGGCCGAATGGCTCAACCTAATGTCAACCTTCATGGCCTTCCTGTGTCTCCAAACTAGAGCTTCTATCTCTCCCCTACACTCCCTAACGGCAGGACACTTGTCCATCTGTTTTGTTCTCTCTACTATACCAGGCATCCAGTGCAGTGTCTGGTACCTAGTAGGAACTTTAGAAATGCATGCTCAATGTGGTGGTAGTATTTTTCAGGTAAATATTCCCCGTTTGTCTCGAGCAGTGATGGCGAACCTATGACACACGTGTCAGAGGTGACACGCGAACTCATTTTTTTGGTTGATTTTTCTTTGTTAAATGGCATTTAAATATATAAAACAAATATCAAAAATATAAGTCTTTGTTTTACTATGGTTGCAAATATAAAAAAATTTCTATATGTGACACGGCACCAGAGTTAAGTTAGGGTTTTTCAAAATGCTGGCACGCCGAGCTCAAAAGGTTCGCCATCACTGGTCTAGAGGTTGGCCCAAGCCCCTGCCCTATCCCTGATGTGCACCGACACTGTGTTTTCCAGTTTGCCAATAGGACTCCCAGAGATGGGTGGTCACCATCTTCCTTACCTGAAGCCATGTCTTCCTTAGCAACCAAAGTTTGCATGGCCCAGGGTAAGCCTTCATAACTTTACAGTGGGGCAGTAAAAATTCAATTTCTTGCTTAAGTGAGTGGAGCAACACAAAGGTATTTCCCAGTTGGCCGCCATCATTCTGAGGATTTCTTTCTTTTCTTTTCTTTTCTTTTTTTTTTTTTTTTGTTAATCCTCACCTGAGGATAATTTTTCCACTGTTTTTCAAAGATAGTGGAGGGGAGAGAGGGAAGAGAGAGAAAAACATCGATGTGAGAGACATTGGTTGCTTACTGTATGCGCCTGACCAGGAGCGGGGAGCAAACATGAAGCCCAGGTACATGCCCTTGACCAGGAATCAAACCTGCAATCACCTTAGCCAGTTTGGCTCAGTGGATAGAGCATCCAACTATGGACCAGAGGGTCCCGGGTTCGATTCAAGTCAAGGGCACGTACCTCGGTTGCAGGCTCCACCCTAGCCTGGATCCTGGTGGGGGTGCATCCAGAGACAACTAATCAATGTGTTTCTCTCATATGGATATTTCTCTGTCTTTCTCTCTTCCACTCTCTCTAAAAATCAATGGAAAAATATCCTCATGTGAGGATTAAAACAAAACAAAACAAACCCCCTGCAACCCTTCGATGCTCTAACCACTGAGTAACATGGGCCAGGGCTGAGGATTTCTTTCACTTTGGACTTGGAGCAGCGCTGCCTGTTGTCCCCTCTCCCTTTGAAAGAGAAAGTTGGATATCTCGCCTGGCCATTTCCTCTGGATTGGCTTTCTTGACTTTGCTCGACTGCTGTGGGATTTTAATTGAGCAGAAGGAACTTTCCCCCACTTATTTTCCCACGGAGTGAGCTCCTGCTCCCAATCAGTCCTTCCCTGCAAACCCTCCCCCTTCCTCCCCCCACCCGGCCCTGGCCATAGCACAACCCACAACAATTAGGGGCCCACTTGGAGGTTTATTGGTGGAAGTATAGGAGCACCTTGTTTTAAACACCATCTTACTTCTCCCATGGTCATTGGCCCACGGTGGGAAAACAGCATGATGGGAGGCTGTAGCCAGTGCGCCGACTAAAGCCAGGAAGATCACCCGTTTGGGTGGGTGTCAGGGTCCCAGTAAGTTCTCTCCTAGGGAACTGGCTACAGGAGCCTGTGGTAAGCACTCGTCTGGATTCTCTTGTTCCCAGAGGCTGTGGCCCAAAACGGCTCTCATAGGTACAATCACATTGGCTGAAGATGCCACCGGCAAGGGTGTCTTCCTGTCGCTCTTGCAATCCTTGATTTTAGTGGCCTGTTTTCTGTTGGAACCCAGGAAGTTTGGGGCCATTGAAAACAATAGAAGAAAAAGAAAGCATTGTTAAGAGTTTAATTATAAAAACTGCTTTTTAGTTATGTCTTTCCAGCATGAGCGGCTTGAACACAGATGTGACTATGGAAATGATGGGCAGTGAAAACACGTAGAGATGGGATGATGTAGCTGAGAAGGACTTGAGTGGAGGAAGCCAAGCAGGAGGGAGGCTGGAGCTAAGGCTGCTCTGCTGAAGTGGAACAGACACCCCTCCAAGCCTTTGGCGCTGCGTGGATGTGTTGAGAACCTAATGTGTTATGGTTCAAAGGCAAAACCGGAGCCTACCGGGATCTGCCTGGCGCCCACTATAACCTGCCTGGAGTCAGCGTGAGTGCAAAGGAAACCTCAGACAGTTCTCCAAAACACGACAACTTAAAAAACCCACAGCCGGCAAGCTGGCATGGCTCAGTGGTTGAGCATCGACCTATGGACCAGGAGGTCACGGTTTGATTCCCGGTCAGGCCATATGCCCGGGTTTCAGGCTCTATCCCCAGTGTGGGGCGTGCAGGAGGCAGCTGGTCTATGATTCTCTCTCATCATGGATGTTTCTACCTCTCTCTCCCTCTCCCTTCCTCTTTGAAATCAACACAAATACATATTTTTAAAAATCACAACCACTTAGTGTGTCTAGAAAAACACACAGTGTGGTTAAAATTTTGATTCCAAAGGCAATACATACTTATATTAAAAATGAAAAATATAAAAACTATAATAAAGCACCAAAACAAAATAAAAACCCCCCACACTGTAACTATTCAGAGATAAATGCAGTGAGATTTTGTTTTTTTTAGGTGAAAATAATTCTAGAGTTACTTCGCTAGAGACTGGCAATGTGGTTGAATAATCTAAAAAAACCCACCTCTTTGCCACAAAACACCTAGAAATGTAGATAAAATATCGTTAACATAGTTTTAAATGCATTGTTGAGCTCACAAAAAAGTAAAGAAAAATCCTAAGGGACAAAAATTATAGACCAGCCAAATGTGAGCTGAAGCTAGGGCTGCCCAAGGGACTTGCCAGTCTTGGTAACCAGGGCGTGGTGACACAGGAGATAAATCCTGGGCCCTAGCCAGGTGGGGGAGTTTACTGAGGTATCGGCATAAATCCAGGACTTTCAAAGCACCTTCTCAGCAAAAGGGTACACCAGAAAGAAACCCATCCAGTGCCATAAACTTATCTATATCAATCTGGATTCTGGGTCAAAAAGAAGCCTCTTCTGAAAATTCTTATCTTTGGGCCTGTCTTCGTGCTGGTTTGCAGGCTGACACATGGTCCAACAACTCCCAAGCTGAGAAACTAATATAAAAAATGTCTCCCGAGTCAGAAGATCTCTGAGGTAGAAGCAAGCTTACAATGGTTCTCCCCCCATTCCCAATTCAGCAACATGAGTCCCACAGATAATGGCCTGTTTGAGATAAACTCACGAAGAAAATGACAGCTACAGAGGCTCCAAGACCCACATGGCTTCGGGGTCTGTGTGAGAGGAAGCAGAGAGGCAATGAGGCATCTGAGGGACTTGAAAACAGGAGAGCCCCTAAATCGCCCCAGATTCTCAGTGGAAAGTGCAGCAGGCGAATTAGAGAAGAAGAAAACTGGAAGTAGAAACTGGAGTCCTTCCATGGTAAAGCCTCAAGGGCGGAAGCAGTATGTGCCTTACCAACGCTCAGAACCATCAGAATACTCTCCCTGGCAGGGCACAGCCTCATAGTAGGGGAAAACCAACGGAAATGGAATACAAATTGAGTAGAACGGGAACAGAAGAGCCGAAGGAAAGGGCAGGATCAGCTAAAGATAAGAGAGAGGAACACAGTCCCCAAAGGTCATTAATGCTTCACAAAAATGACACAAGAGGAAGCACTCGAGCCAAAACCAGAAAGCCATCGTGACCCAGCTATCATTCTCAGAGGTTGAGAAAAACCATTTCACATAAAAATAAATCGCATCAGAAAAGGATCATAATCAAAACCCACACAAAATCATATAAGAAAAGATGCAAAGCATAATAAATCCTTGAAGACAATAAAAGCACACTAAAAAGATGTGCTGCATGTCCTAGCAGGTTTAGCTCAGTGGTTAGAGCATTGGCCCTTGGACTGAAGGATCCTGGGTTCAATTCTGGTCAAGGCATGTACCTCAGTTGCAGGCTCAATCCCAGGTCTTGGTGGGGGCATGTGCAGGAAGCAACCAATCACTGTGTCTCTCTCACATTGATGTTTCTCTATGTCTCTCCCCCTCTCTTCCACTCTCTCTAAAATCAATGGATGCAAAATTATGTGCAATGTGTTAAAAGTGTTTGATACAATATTATTGTTTTCTTATATTTTTTACATTTTTGCATAATTTTTTCTGAAACTCGTATTTGAGTATTCATGACTACAATGTCAATTTTGGATTATATATTTTATTAATAAAATAATTTTTGCCTTCTTTAAAAATAAATAAATAAATAAACAAAATAAAGTCATGGATCCAATGAGGATTAACAACAACAAAAAAAGATGTAGCGCAAAATGAATGCAAACTGCAACCTAGCATTCCAAAATGAGCTAAAAGAAATTAAGAAAATGATAGACTACATAAAAGAACAACATAAGTCAGAATTTAAAATATTGATAAATGAGGTGATAAAACTGAGAAAACAATTAGACATTTTAAAAGAAAGAACCATTATTTCCAAAACAAAGCAAGAAAGAATGTAGCGAGCGCCTGGGAAGGCACATGAGCTGATTGTTGGCTGAATCCAGTGGTGTAGGCAGAGCCACGTCCTGGAAACATACCTTGCCAGAGGCAGGTATGTTGTCAGCCTGACCTTTAGCTCAGGCGCCAGGGCGTGGGTTTCATTATCTAAGTTCAGCAGGAACAGACACAATTATCCAGGCTAAGCCAGGAGTGACAATTACAAAGAAGCCACAAGAATGAAGAATTACAGCTTGATCTTTAACCGTGATTTCACATAATTTCCTTTGTCTTAAACCTGGTATCATGCTGTATGTAATAAATGTGCTGCACTAGCTCTGGGTCACTGTTTCTCCATCTGAGGACAGCATCTCACCTGGCCCCAGCTTTACTTAAAGTCTTTGTGTCTGTCTCTTTTTTTTTTCTTTTTCCCAATCCCCAGCCGCCCCTACTCAGGACTCGTCCACTCTCTAGCTGTGCTAGTGGTGGCCAAGAGAGAAAACTTATAAAAGAACACAAGAGCAAACAAGCAAAGCACATAATGCCTTAAGAGAAATAGAGGGATAGGGAGGAGTTTAAAGAATAAAAAAGAAAGAAAGGGGGACATATATATATATATATATATATATATATATATATATATGACAAAGATAATCCAACATATAAATCCAACATGCAAATAATAAGAGTACTCAAAGAAGAAAGGTTTACAATTCAAGAAAACCGTCTTGAAATTAGAAAGAATGGAAAAAAAAAAGAAGGTCTGGAATGTCCAGATAAAGGCAGACTGTGACCCGGGAGAATTGGGTGAGCACGGCCTCCACTAACCCAGAGTGAGTCAGGAAAGCATTCAGAGAAAGGATGCACGGAGAGTCCTTTGTATGAGCTGCTGCCTCTTGCCCCTCAAGCTGAAAGAGAGGGGCTGCCTGGGACCTTCTGCTGCGACCCTTTGGGGGCCGGGAGACCCAGTAGAGTTGGAGGCACAAAAGACGGAGGGTGAGCCGAAACCGGTTTGGCTCAGTGGATAGAGCATCAGCCTGCGGACTGAAAGGTCCCAGGTTCGATTCCGGTCAAGGGCATGTACCTGGGTTGCGGGCACATCCCCGGTGGGGGATGTGCAGGAGGCGGCTGATCGATGTTTCTCTCTCATCGATGTTTCTGACTCTCTATCTCTCTCCCTTCCTCTCTGTAAAAAATCAATAAAATATATTTAAAAAAAATAAAAAGACGGAGGGTGGGAGAGATGGGAGAATGGGTTTCTTTGGTGGTGAAGTGAAGTTGCTTCTGTGTCCCTAGAGGCACCGTCCTCCTCTCCAATGGCCAGTCAAATTCTGGGAGGATATTATTGAGGACCAGATGCAGACAGCGAGAGAGAGAGAGAGAGAGAGAGAGAGAGAGAGAGAGAGAACACCAGCCTGGAGCCATTGTAAACCCTGCCCAAACAGAGTCCCTTAAGGGACGAGGGACGCTGACCGCTAGTTCCTGGGTAGCACAGACCCCTGCAGAGCCAGTGCCAGAGAGGGGCAGTGGCCAGGCGAAAGGAAGGTCTCACAGCATCACCAGAGTTGCAGTCAGGGGAGCCAGGTAGGGACTTCAAAGAACCCAAGAAAGTGCCTAAGAGAACAAGTCAGCTTAAAATTAGGAAACGGAAGGAGAAGAGGAGCGACTCTGAGGGGCCATCTTAACAGGGGACCAGGCTGAGGGAAGAGAGATGTAATCAGCTCAGAGTTTTGATAGTTTTTAGGCACTGGACTTTTTAATTTCAGAATCGATGCTGCTTTTGCTATTTAAAGGGACCAAAGGCCCTTTCGTATTCCAAGAGGGAGTCCACAAGCTATGGGGCCTGCCCAGAGAACCAGCGTTTACTCAGGAAAGAGGAAAATTTCACCCACTAGAAAAAATTATAAAGGCAGACAAAAATAAATTTGCATTTAGATTATACTCAAAAGTTGAACTTGTTCAACATACTGGCTGCACAGTCTTGCTTTGGGTTTCTATCACTCATTACAGAAAGAATCTACTACACTTACTTAGTAACTTAGTAAAACTTTGGAGCCAGCAGTGGTCTCCCCTCTGGGTTACTGTCTCTTCTATTTCACAGAAGAGATAGAGAAGGCCGAGAGAACTCAGGATTGTTTTATCCAAGGGACCCTTTTGAGTTGGGAATGTAGACAGTCAATATCCAACTCCATAAACTTGCTTTATTAGCTTACCCTCATTCCTCTACTGAGCACCTTCCATATGAAAACACTGGGATTTGCCCTAGTCAGTTTTGCTCAGTGGATAGAGCATCAGCCTGTGGACTGAAGGGTCCCGAGTTCGATTCCCATCAAGGGCAATCGATCCCCAGTAAGGGGTGTGCAGAAGGCAGCCCATCAATGATGTTTCTATCTCTCTCTCCCTCTCCTTCTCCCTTTATCTCTGAAATTAATAAAAAAAATATTTAAAAAGAAAGCACTGGGGTTTGCCTAGAATATTCAGATCCGTCAGCCACAGGCCCTGTTTTCAAGGACAGGCGTACAATAACATGAAGGGGAAAGCCACACGCATGACTCTCTAGAGCAGTGGTTCTCAACCTTCCTAATGCCGCCACCCTTTAATACAGTTCCTCATGTTGTGGTGACCCCCAATTCCATTGTTACAAGTTGAACATAATTAAAGCATAGTGATTAATCACAAAAACAATATGTAATTATATATGTGTTTTCCGATGGTCTTAGGCGACCCCTGTGAAAGGGTCGTTCGACCCCAAAAGGGGTCGCGACCCACAGGTTGAGAACCGCTGCTCTAGAGGAAAAATAAAAGGACTGCAATAGATTGGCAGAAGGTGTCACTGACCCCGCCCACGGCTCTATGCTGTGGGGAGGGTGCTGGAGCTGCCTGCATGGAGGACCCACCTGTCTTCTGTGAGATGGACTCTTCCTGGGAAGTGTGAGAAAATGTCGCTAGTCTGCTCGGCTTTCCACAGCAAGAAGTTTTCGCTGGGCTGGGAGGATGACAGGAGGCTGCTTTCAGGCTGGATGGAGAAATTTACAGTTAGAGGATCAGGTCTCCCCCTCACCGTTCTTGGCCTCCTCCGGCCAGAACCTTGAAGGAACTCACTTGAGTCTTCCGGCCGAGTCCTGGGAACCTGTTCCTTAAATATTAAGCCCCAGAATCACCAGACAAAAGCAATGAGTCACCATGCAGGATCACCTCCTCTCTCTGATGGGCCGCTGTGGCAACTCAGCCCAGAGCACCAGATATGAACATTAAGAACCAGAGCAGTAGAACTATAAAAGCTGACTTTTGAAGTCGGTGATGGCGTACCTAAAGCACACAACTTAAAAGAAAGGAGGAAAGTGTTTAGGAGCCGGAAATCTGATGGTTTTAGGCCTTTCTTCCTGTGCTTCTACCCTAAGCAGGTCCCGAGAAAGCCTTCTGCGTGTTGGGGGGTGGGTGGTGGGTGGGGGGGTAGAGAGGGGGCCTTAAATAAACTAAAATGGAAAACAAATCCTTGGGGGAAGGTATTGCAAAAACTTGTGATTAAAGGGTTAAAATTCTTGATGTATAAAAAGCTTTCGTTTACAAATCAATTTAGAAAGACACAAGGATGCCAATAGGAAAATGGCCAAAGAACAAACAAGACAGTGCATAAAAAAAAAAAAAAATAATAATGTTCAAACACATGCTACTTTAACCTATAATTATTAGAAAAAAATTTTAATTCTCAGTTGTGGTAAGAACACAGTGATACAGAACTCTTATATTATTGGTGAGAGTATAATTTAGTATGAACTTTCTGGAAATAATCTAGCAATATGTATTAAAAACCTTAAAAATGTTCATACCCTTTGAATTCTACTTCTTTTTTTAGTCTTTTTTTATTTTTTAGATTCTTTATTGTTTAAAGTATTACATATGAATCCCCTTTCCCCCATTGACCTCTCCTCGCTCGTTCCCACCCTCCCCTTGAATTCTACTTCTAAAAATCTATTCTGAGAAAACAATAAAAACTGTGGACAATACCTATAAATGCCTGTGTTACCATACAGCAGTAGAGAATGTATGGCCCATGAGCCATATAAGGCCCTTGAAATCATTTGGTCTGGCCCTGCCAAGGCATTAGGGGTGAATTAATTAAATGTTTGACCAAATATAGCAGGCTAATTTTTAAGTTGATAACTTTGTATGGCCCTCGAATGATGCTATAAATATCCAAATGGCCTTTGGCAGAAAGAAGGTTCTCCACCCCTGACGAAAAGTTAGAAACGACTTTAAATATCAGATTTTAGCCCGGCCGGAGTGGCTCAGTGGTTGAGCATTGACTCAGGAACCAAGAGATCACCGGTTCAATTCCAGGTCAGGGCACATGCCCGGTTGCAGGCTTGATCCCCAGTAGGAGGCGAGCATGAGGCAGCCAATCAATGTTTCTCTCTCATCAATGTTTCTCTCTCTCTCACCCTCTCCCTTCCTCTCTCTCTAATATCAATAAAAACATATTTTAAATTAAATAAATCAACAAATATCTGATTTTAGGGGAATGAAGTAAATTTTAATTCATTCATATAATTGAAGAGTATGAAATTATCAAAATGATGTATAAGAACTTTTAAAATTTATTTATTGATTTTAGAGAGAGAGGAAGGGAGAGAGAGAGAAAAAAAACATTGATTTGTTGTTCCACTTATTTATGCATTAGTTGGTTGTTTCTTTGTGTCCTGAGCAGAGATTGAACACACAACCTGGTTGCATCAGGACCAAGCTCTAACCAATTGAGCTACCCAGCCAGGGCTATAAAGATCTTTTAAAAGAAATGGATCGTAGACAAGAAAAAGCTAAAGGAGTTAGTCACCACCAAATCAGTATTCCAAGAAATGTTAAAGGGACTTCTTTAAGAAGAAGAAAAAAAATAAACCAAAAAACAAACAAACAAAAAAACCCCACCCACATGAATAATAAAATGGCAATAACTACATACCTCTCAACAATTACTTTAAATGTAAATGGATTGAATGCTTCAGTCAAAAGACATAGGGTGGAGAAGAAAACAAGATCTATACATATGCTATCTACAAGAGACCCACTTCAGATCGAAAGACACACACAGACTGAAAATAAAGAGATAGAAAAAGATATTTCATGAAAATGGAAAAAAAAATCTCTGGTAGCAATATATCAGACAAAATAGATTTTAAAACAAAAACTATGCCCAGCTAGCGTGGCTCAGTGGTTGAGCATCAACCTATGAACCAGGAGGTCACAGTTCGAATCCCCATCAGGGCATATGCCTGGGTTTCAGGCTTGACCCCCCAGTGTGGGGTGTGCAGGAGGTAACCAATCAATGATTCTCTCTCATCATTGATGTTTCTATCTCTCTGCTTCTTCCTTCCTTTCTGAAACCAATAAAAACATATTTTTAAAAAAAAAAAACTATAACAAGAGACAAAGGACAGACATTTCATAGATGCAATAGCCAAGCTATGGAAACAACCTAAGTGTTCATAATTAGATGATTGGATAAAGATGATGTGGTGCATGTATGCAATGAAATATTACTTGGCCATAAAAAGAACGAATTTTACCATTTGCTACAACATGGATGGTCCTAGAGCAGTGGTTCTCAACCTTCCTAAAGCCATGACCCTTTAATACAGTTCCTCATGTTGTGGTGACCCCAACCATAAAATTATTTTTGTTGCTACTTCATAAACTGTAATTTTGCTACTGTTATGAATCGTAATGTAAATATCTGATATGCTATATGTGTTTTCCAATGGTCGCGACCCACAGGTTGAGAACCGCTGTCCTAGAGGGTATTATGCTAAGTGAAATAAGTGAGACAGAGAAAGACAAATACCATATGATGTCATTTATATATGGAATCTAAAAAACAACATCAACAAACAATCAAAACAGAAACAAACTCATAGACACAGAGAACAAACTGATGGTTGCCAGATGGGAGGGGGGTTAGGGGATTGGGTGAAATGGTGAAGTATAAATTGGCAGTTACAAAATAGTCACGGGGATGTAAAGTACAGCACAGAAAATATATTCAATAATATTATAATAAGTATGTATGGTGCCAGGTAGGTACCAGACTTATCAGGGGGAGCACTTCATAAGTTATATAAACGTCTAACCACTATACTGTACACCTGAAACTAATACAATATTAAATGTTATCTATAGGGGGGGAGGTTGGGGAGATGAGGACACATTTGTAATACCTTAACCAATAAAGAAATTAAAGATTTAAAAAAATGTTATCTATAATTGAAAAAAAGTTAATGGAAAAAG